TGCTCGGGTCCTCGAGCCCAGCTCCGGGAGAGCGCAGGCAGCCACGCCGGGCGGAGAGTTGCAGGAGCCCGGGGCGGGCGGAGGAAGGGGATTCAGCCCGTGAAGGCGGCTTAAGGGAGGGGAGAGATCGGCGGAGAGCGGGGAGCACAAGGAGCCCGGGAGCTCGGCGGTACACGCGGTTCCCCAGGGCCAGCCACCTGGCGCTGGCGTTTGTCGCTGGCCGGGGGCACCTCCTCCACGCCTCGAGCCCCAGCGAGCGTCGTCGGCCGGATGGCCCAGCGTCTGCCGACCCGAGTCGTCCCTCCGGAGAGCGCCGAGGATGGCATGGGCCACCACTCCTCGGGGCCGGGCCGCAGGGGAGGACGCCACGGTCCCCCTTCCCTGTCTCCTCCCTGTTGCTTTTCCAAGAAACACTCCTCGGTTCCCGAGGCTGGGGGCGGGTTGCACCTGGGACGCACCCCTGCCCCGCCCCCCCGCACCCCGCGTCCCGGACCCGCAGCTCTCGGAACCCGCCTGGGGAGGGAACGCGAGGCTCTGCTGAGATGCGCCTATTCCTGTGTCCCGCCCGGCTTCATCCCCTTCCCGTTTCCGCCTTCTCTGTCCCCTTCCCCCACCTCCCTTCGGGTCGCCGAGGGGTTTCCCTAGACCGCCAGCCCCCTGCTCTGCTGGAGTTCTGAATGGGTGGGTTGAAGCCGCGGCGATCCCCTGAGCCCCTTCTCTGGGTCAGGAGACCTCTCTTGGACCCAGGAAGAGATGGAGACTTGAGGAAAGGGGCGCCCCCCGGCGGCGGGCTAAGAGGCGGGGCAGAGGCGGCCGAGGGCGATGCGCAGTAGGCCAGACAATCAGCCCCAACCCTCGCGCAGCTCGCGGGCTCCGGGACCCCTGACCGCCCCCCCACCCAGGTCGCCCCCTCAGCCGTGCCCGGCCTTGCTGTCCGCAGAGACTCAGGGCCGAGAGAGTCTGGGGACCCTATGCCTCACCAGGGGTCTCGGGGCGGGACGCTTGCCACCCCATCTCAAGGACTCAGGGGAGCTTGCGCCCCCGTCGCACCGCGGAAAGCGGCCCACGCTTTGGTCGATACTGGGCCGTCGGTTCTCCGCTGGGTCTGCGGGCGACCTTGAGCTCCGGGGCGGGGGAAGAAGGCAGAGAGCCCTACGCCAGCAGGCGCTCTCCCTAAAATTCATTTTGGAAACCAAGGCCCCCGCGCTCAGCGGATGAGCCTGGCCGCCCGGTGAGTCACCGCGAGCGGGCGACAAGGATTCCCAGCAGCTGGTAATTAATTGCGCCGTGGCTCGGCCCACGACGGAACCCCAGTCGAGCCTCCCGCAGCCCTGCAGCGGCGCCACCCCTGAGTCACAGCCGTCGGGCCTCCGCGTCCGGAAGCGGCCTGCTAGCCTCGGCGCCACCAGGGGGCACTGGACTCCGACCCACAGGTCGGCCGGCTTTGAGCCAACCCCGCGGAAGGTGTCCAGGCTGTTCCCTCGGCCACGTGCGGAACGGGGAATGAGCCGCTCTCCACCTGCAGAGTCCAGGCTTTGTAGGCAGCCACTTTTATTCGGTTTACAGACAGCCTTTCAGGGACACGGAACGGCTTTGTGTGCGCTCTGGAAGGGACCTCAGAGATAAACTAGTCCAAGCCGCTCGTTTTACAGATGGGAACACTTCCAACAGGAGAGGATCACATGCCCAGGGGCACCGGCAATGCCAGTCTACACCTCGCACTGGAACCTCCTCCCGCTCTGTCCAGCGCGCCTTCAAGGACCCAGCCGCCTCTGACGCCGCGTTCACAGTGCCATGAATAGGAGACCACCCCCAACTCTGGTTCCTCCAAAACACAGCCTTTGGACTCCAGAGAAACAAGGCCGAGGAGCCAGCCCTCAGGAGGCCCTGGGGGTAAACGAG